CCTTAGCCCACGGCCAGCTCAGTCAAAAGGTCACAAGAACGAAGGGAAGCTGTTAGACGAGGTCTGTTAATATAAAAAAGGATCATTATCCTCACTGAGGGCACGTGAAATTGGTGTAAAATTACTGAGCACCCAACAGTATTTTCAAAATGCAGCGAAGGCCGGGAAAACACGGAGGCCTCTAGCTTGACCCTCACACAATACGGCTACAAGGGAAAGGACCGTGGACAGCAGGAAAGGAATGAATGCGGGGTGTGCCCCCTGCTCCCCACCGCCCCCGCCGCGCCGACCGGTGAAGGCCCCTCCCCCAGCCCTCCGCTGCTCCCGCCGCGTCGACCCCGGGCACCACCGTTCACTAGGACGGCTTTCTCCAGGGCACAACACCCCCCACCCCCCACGTGGCATCCTCTAGGTTGCTCCTTTTACTCACTCTCCCTTCGCGGTCGCCCGGCGTCTCCCTCCCGGTCTTTCTTCCCTCAAGTCGCCGCCCACTCGGCACTCAGCGACGCAACGGATGCCGCCTGCGTCCTAGCAGCTCACTTTCCAGTGGGTTACCGGGAATGTAGACACGCTCTGGCAGGTACGGCCGGGGGAACAGGTGTGGGGACGAAACAGCAGGAGACGTCATACAACGGGGTGGTCCCTCCCCCAGCCTGGGGCCCAGGGGCCTCGCCCAGGTGACCGCGAAGGGGAGGCTTGGAGGCGGCAGGGTCTCACTGCGGGAGGATGAGAACCGCTCGGAGGTGGGTCTGGGCGAGGAACGGAGTTACGCCAATCTCAGGGCCAGGGGCGGAGGCGGAGGCTCTGGCGCTAGTGTGCGGGGGGCGGGGGGGGGAGGTGAAGTGAAAGAATTCAAGCCCGGAGTGAGGACATGGAATGGGGCGGGGACTAGACAAGTAGAGCTTATGCAAGGAGGGGTACGTCCGTGAGGGGCGGGGCGGGATAGGACGTGTCCAGCGTAGGGCGGGACCTCGGGAAGGTGAGCGGAAGCGGGGCCTGTGCAGGACGTGGCCAGCGTGAGGCGGTGCTTACGCAGGGTGAGTGGGCAGGGTCGTCAGCGGAAGGGCGGGTGGTGCAGGGCGTGGACAGCGTAGGGCGGGGCCTAGCGAGGGTAAGAAGAAACCAGAAGGGTATGTAGGCGGAGGGGCGGTGCCGGTACTGGACGTCTGATACGGGGGTGGGTCCAACGGAGGGAAAGGGCGGAGGGTACGTCCGCGGAGGGGCGGGGCCTAGGGAGGACGACTGGAGGGCTCTGACTGGGTGTCAGGGATGGGGGTGCCCAGGGGTGTGTGCCGCGGCGGGGCCTGTGCCAAACGTGTTCAGGGAGGGGTGGAGCCTAGGGAGAGAGCAAAGAGCGGGGCTGTGGCGTAAACGGAGAGGCGAGGCTAATGTCCGTCGAGGCCACAGGAAGGGTCAGCGGTAACAGGACAAAAACGGAGGGGCGCGGCCAGCGTAGGACGTAGCGTGCGTGTGGCGAGGCCCATGGAGTTTGAACTGGGACCTAAAGTGCACGTCAGCGGAGGGGCGGGACCGGTTTAGGGCGGGGTCTTCGGGGCTTCAGCTGAGACCATAGGCGACGTATGTGGAGGGGCGGGGCTGGTGCAGGACTTGACCAACTTCGGGAGGGACATGGGAGGGTGAGTGAGGAGGCCACGTCAGCAGAGGGGCGGGGCCCAATAAGTAGTTGGCCAGCGTGAGGCGGGGCCTAGAGAGGGGGACGCGGGAAGAGGAGTCAACAGAGGGGCGTGCCCGGCTTAAGACGTGCCCGGCGTGAGGCAAGGCCTAGTGACGGTGAGTGGAGGGCCAGACATGGCGTCAACGGAGGGGTGGGTCCTAGGAAGGAAGGGGCGGGTCCGGGGCTGGACGTGCCTAGCGTCAGGCGTGGTCTAGAGAGAATGAGAGGGGAGGGTACGTAAGAGAACGGGCGTGGCCAGTTTAGTACGAATCCAGCGTGGTCGGGGCCTTGCGGAGGTGAGCGAAGAGCGGGAAGGGAACGTCATCCAGGGGCGTGGCCTGCGCAGACGTTGCCAGCGTGGGGCGTGGTCTAGAGAAGTTGAGCGAGTGCCCGTCCCGTGCCCGACGTGGCCAGCGTGGGGTGGGGCCTGGCAGGGGCGGGGCCCCGTTCCGCCCCGCCTTTCCGGGTCCTCCCCTCCTTCCGTCCCACGCGCCGGCAGGCTGGCCGCTCTGGTCGGTGTGGCGGCGTTAGTGTTGGAGGGAGCCGACTCCTGCTTCCCTAGCCTCAGTGAATGTTTCGGGCAGTTCCAGGTGAGACTCAGAGCCCCGGGGCCTCCTGCATTGAACGCGCCGATGTGTCCTCGTTAGGGTGACAGGTGTGTGCACAGCCCCCGTTGGCTGGACACGCCGGGCTGGGGGCGCGGGCCTCGCAGGACCCCGGCGGCGGCGGCGGCGGCGGCGGCGGCCGCCGCCGCGCTTGGCGCGGGTTAGTGGACCCAGCAGGGTAGGCGGGGTCTGTGCTGGTGGCGGAGAGCCGGAGGGAGAGGCGGGACGTGGCCCGGAACAGGGGGTGCTCAGCGGGAGGCTGAGTGTTCGGGACCTGGGGAGAAGCGTGGGTGCCACCAAGATTCGCTTTTGGTCGTTAGGTCGTCGGTGTTGTCGCTTCACGTTTTCATGGGGCGACTCCCCGAGGTATCTGAAGATTTTTTCTTTTTTTGAGAAGTAATGGGATATTCTTTTATTTCTTTTCTTTTCATTTAGAGAGTGCAAGTGGGGGAGGGGCAGAAGGAGGGACAGAATCCCAAGCAGGCTGCACACCCAGCGCGGAGCCGATGCAGCGCTGAATCGCAGACCCTGGGATGATGACCTAAGACAAAATCTAGAGTCTGTTGCTCAGTCGTGGGAGCCACCCTGGCGCCCGAGAAGTATGGGATATTTTAATCACTGTTTTTGTTTTTTATTTCTTAATGTGTTATGTCAAGTTGCGGTAATGAATGAGGCTTATAAAATGGATACCATTTATGAAGATGTGGTTTTGCTTTTTATTAATGAAAATTTAATTTTTCAATATCTGAGGACCTATATGACAGGGATGTTACTAGTTTCCCATTGTTAACCTTAAAAATAAACCTGCCAGGGGGCGCCTGGGTGGCTCAGTCCATGGGCATCGGACTCTGGATTTCTCAGGCCTTGATGCAATGGTCATGGGATCGAACCCCAAATCGGGCTCCACCCTGAGCGTGGAGACTGATTGAATTTTCTCTCTCCCTGTGCCCCTCTTCCCTCCCCTGCGAGAGGGAGCGCTTGCTCCCTCCCTCCCTTTTACTCTCTCTCTCTTAGGAAAAAAAAAAAAAAACCTGCTTGTTATTTTAATAGCAGCTGATGGAGTTACTTGAGAATGAATAAAAGAGAATTGCAATCTGGGACAAACAAGCTTTAGAAAAATTGTAGGGAACACGGGAACCAAGGGGAGGAATGCTTTTTTAAGGAAAAAGGGGTAATGTGGGAAGGTTGCTGTGAACCTCAAGTCCATTATAGTTAACTGAGAGTTTGTAGTGTATTGGCTTCTCACTGCCTGAACTGGTGTCCTGGAGGATAAGGAAAGCATCTCTTCCTCCTGCTGGAGTTGTTGAGTAGTATCCACATGCAAGGTCAAGTCCCTGAAGGGTCCAGTCCCTCTTCCTCTTGGGTCTCCAATTGACTGTTAAAGGGTGTGAAAGTTTTACCTGCCACATCTCCCCATTCCCCACTCCATTTTAGGGTGGTTTCCTTTTACTAGATTTCACACCATAAACATTAAAAATCAGTAAGCAAATTGGGTTTTCAAATTTCAGTAGCTTCATTTATATCTTTTTTAAAGTTTTATTTATTTTGAGAGAGCATGAACAGGGGAGGGGCAGAGAGAGAGAGAGAGACAAAGATCCCATGCAGGCTCCGTGCTGTCAGCACAGAGCCCGGTGTGGGGCTCAAACTCACAAGCCATGAGATCATGACCTGAGCAAAATCAGGAGTTATATGCTCAACCCACTGAGGGCTCCCCCCCCCCCCGCCGGGTGCCCCAATGTACAGTTCATAAACCTTAAGATGAAGGTGTAGGTTAATATCTCTTTTTTATGTTCCCTTTAGAAAATCTGATCCTGGTTGGAACTAGGCAGTACCTAATTCCAACTACTCATGCTGAGTAACTTCTCCAAGATTAATTACAAGAGAAGACACCTCTGGCTCTCTCAACTTTTTTTTTTAATAGTTTCTTTTTTTAATCTTTATTTGTTTTTGAGAGAGAGCAAGCAGGGGTGAGACAGAGAGAGGGAGACAGAGGATCCAAAGCTGTCTCCATGCTAACCTCAGAGAGCCCAGCATGGGGCTCAAACTCAGGAAACATGAGATCATGACCTGACCCAAGGTCATATGCTTAACCAACTGAGCCACCGAGGTGCCCACTTTCCCAAAACTTTTAAGTTGATTTATTTTTAATGTTTTATTTATTTTTGAGACAGAAAGAGACAGAGCATGAACAGGGATGGGGGGGGGACACAGAATCTGAAGCAGGTTCCAGGCTCTGAGCTGTCAGCACAGAGCCCGATGCGGGGCTTGAACCCACAAACTGTGAGATCATGACGTGAGCCGAAGTCGGACACTCAACCGACTGAGCCACCCAGGCGCCCCAAGTTGATTTAATATTAGTATTTGAACTCAAAACAATTCAGAAATTGGAAGATATTTTTCTGTTAAGCCACAGAACAGTGACCAAAATGTAGTTCCTAAAAAGAAGGGGACCCAGTGCTCCTCCTAGTCTCTGAATCTACATTCTCCTGGGCTCAGCTTACTTCCCTGAGACTTGTTGCGAATCGGACTCCATTAAGGAGCCAGGACTTTACATTGGTGGTAAAGTGGCCTTGACATTTGGACTCTCTGTTTGGTTTTCTTCATCCCTATCTGCTTACCTAGGAGTCAAATGATGGAATTCTGTCTGTGTGACCCATCCAGCCTCCAGACCACCTTCTCCATCAAATCTTCAACGTTTAGGTGAATACATAATATGTACTTGGGAGTCTCCACATAAGATGGAGTGAGTTTTCTTGGGTCTGTGTGGGGTGCATATCTCCCCATGAGTAACTGAGCCCATAAGGTGGGTGTCTTGAGGAAACCAAACTCTGTATACAATGTCTTCAAGTCTCTGTTTTCTTGGGTCCTTTTTTCCAGGAGAAAATTCATCCCTACAAAAGTACTGTTTATTCTAATGGGAACTATTATTAAACCACTTTTCAATGAGGTTACAAGTTATTTCACATAATTCTGTGAATTTTGACTTGTGCATGGGCATTTTCATGTGTGAATCTTTGCATGTTATCAAAAGTCTCTGAGGTAAAAGCTCTGTGAACACATGTCTACAGAGCATACACACACAAACCGCAGGTAGCATTTGCTGAAATGCAGTAGCTGGTCAAAGCTGGGGATTATTGATGCTTTCTTGGCATGGAGATCAGTGATGGGTGATGTCAGCTGACTCAACACATGAAAGATCACCTTGGTGGCCTGTAGAGACTCAAAAGAATGACCAGCCTGATAAGTTGAAGATAATGTCTCCTCTCTCACCTGAATGACCATTGTCCTGTGACTGAATGTTAACACTGAGAATGAATAACTGAGACAAAAATCAGGATGCCAGAACTTCCAAATGACCCACCACTCCCGTATTGAAACCTTGAGCCACTCTGCCTCTTCCTGGCACCTGGAAATAACATCTGTTTCTCAGTTATCTCGTTGACTTATATCAAAGAAGCTTGCCTTTTCCAGTTAAAAGCCCTGTAGATATCAAAGATGCATAAAAACTAGCGACATAAGGACTAGGATACCCTGGGACATCTTTGGGAATTATGTATCTACAGAGCAGAGCCTAGGGATCTGATGATTCCGTTACTATTTTCTGGAATGAACACTGCTTATATTCTGTCTGATTAAGACTAATTATCTGGCACTGCAAAGTTAAAGGGTAGAAGGAACCAGGGGCACCTGGCTGACTCAGTTGAAGAAACCGCTTCAGCTCAGGTCATGATCTCACGGTTCTTGGGTTCAAGCCCCACAGAGGGCTCTGTGCTGACAGCTCAGAGCCTGGAGCCTGCTTGGATTCTCTCTCTCTCCCTCTCTCTCTCTCCCTCTCTCTCTCTCTCCCCCCTGCTCGCACTCTCTCTAAATAAATAAATAAAACATTGAAACATAATAATAATTTTAAAAAGGATACAAGGAACCAAGAGTAGGAAGCCAATTATCTCAGACCCAATTTAAGTATCTCTGTCTTACTACTTTAAGATCACTGTCTGCCTTCTCCACTCTGCCTCAGATAGCATTATTTTGGGATGAATATAAGGAGCTCTATCTCAGTAATTGTATCTTAATGCTTCTATCCATTTTCCTTTCACAAAGAAGCTTCCATGTTGTCTTTTGTTTGCCTTAAAAGTACACAAACTGATTTTAATACTTTTTGCCAGCGATAAACACAGCACAAAACAAAAGATATATAATAAATGTTGAAAGAGCTAATAAGCTGTCACCTAAAGATGTTACTGTGACTTTCTCTCCCAGTGCCTAGACCCACTCGCAAATTCACAGTACTGTTTCGCTTGTCCCACCTCCAGGTATTTGCATTTGCCTGCTCTTCTCTGCCTGGGTCTTCCCCAGATCTCATCGTGAAGGACTACCACTATCATTTGTCTTTACTTTCTCAGAACCTCATTCTCTGAAAACGTTTTCAAAACAAACAACTTTTCATACTTTTTTCTTTTTTTTTATGCTTTTAATGAAAAAAAATTTTGATGTTTATTTCTGAGAGAGAGAGAGAGACAGCATGAACAGGGGAGGGTCAGAGAGAGAGGGAGACACAGAATCCAAAACAGGCTCCAGGCTCTGAGCTAGCTGTCAGCACAGAGACCAACACAGGGCTCGGCTCGAACCCACGGACTGTGAGATCATGACCTGAGCTGAAGTCGGACGCTTAACCGACTGAGCCTCCCAGGTGCCCCAGACAACCTTTAAAGTATTTTGAGGATTATTTCAACTGTTTCATATTTAGAACTGTGCCTAGGGGAGCCTGAGTGGTTCAGTTGGTTAAGCGTCCAACTTTTGCTCAGGTCATGATCTCATGGTTTATGGGTTCAAGCACAATGTCTGGCTTTGTGCTGACAGCTTGGAGCCTGGAGCCTGATTCAGATTCTGTGTCTCCTGGTCTCTCTGCCCCCCCCCCCCCCCCCCCCACCGCTCATTCATTTGCTTGCTCTCGCTCGCTCTCTCTCAAAAATTAATAAACATTTTTT